TTCGGGCGAAGGTTATAAATAGCGGTCCCGGGCGCACGCCAGCCCGTGGCAGTTTAGGTGGCGGGCAGGGGCGGTAGCGATAGCGGTGGGTTTGGGCGAGGTCACGCTGCCTGCCACTCAGAGCTCTGCAGGCTGCTGCGTCCTTGGTTGGTATGTCTCGCTTTAAAGGCACGACTTGTTTACGGGTGCAGGCGTCCTTTATTCGCCCTGTGATGCTGGGCAGTCCTTCCGAGATCTGTTTTAGGGAGTCTCGTAAGGACAGGCTCTAGGGGTGGGCAAACTTTTTGACTCGAGGGCCACAATGGGTTCTTAACCTGGACCGGAGGGCCGGAACAAAAGCATGGATGGAGTGTTTGTGTGAACTAATATAAATTCAAAGTAAACATCATTACATAAAAGGGTACGGTCTTTTTTTTTTTTTTTAGTTTTATTCATTTCAAACGGGCCGGATTCGGCCTACGGGCCATAGTTTGCCCACGGCTGCGTCTATTCGGACAGGTGGGACTTGCGTAGCTACTTTTATTTTAAAAAATATATTTTATTGATTTTTTACAGAGAGGAAGGGAGAGGGATAGAGAGTTAGAAACATCGATGATGAGAGAAACATAGATCAGTTGCCTCCTGACACCTCCTACTGGGGATGTGCCTGCAACCAAGGTACATGCCCTTGACCGGAATCGAACCTGAGACCCTTCAGTCCGCAGGCCAAAGCTCTATCCACTGAGCGAAATCGGTCAGGGCTGCGTGGCTACTTTTATTTAAAATGCGCCCCAAGTGGGGTCAAGAGGGGAAATGGGAGACATCTATAATACTATCAACAATAAAAATATATATTAAAAATTAAAAAAAATGCACCCCCTTTCTCCATCGCTCCCCTGTAACTTGCAAACCTTTTCGGCTGTTTTTTAAAAATTTTTATTGAATGGGCAGTTTAGGATTACTTATCAGCAAGGGTACCTCGGCTGCTTACCTTTGCTGATGGAATTAGTTTTCTGCAAGGCTACACAGCATATCATTTTCAAACGAAATTTCCTGAAACTCCTTGGAGACCATGTTCCATAGATACCCCCCGCTTCAGGTTGCCTAGCCCTGGCTAGTCACTCATTCAATCAAAAACTGTTGTTGATTTCCTCTGTATTGTGCAAATCACTGGGCCAGAGGCAATACCACAAGGAATAAAACTAGCAATAGAGATAGTGTAGCCTTTCGTTTCTCACAACAGCCCTATAAGGTAGGTGCTATTATTATTATTTCCATTTTAAAGATGAGGTAGGAGAGAAGTTAAGTGACTGATTGCCAAGGCCACATAGCCAATATATTGTAGACTGAGGGGCTTCTGATCCCCAGTTCACCCTCAGCCTCTCTGTCGTCCCCTCTCTCAGGTGCTTAACCTCAAGGATTTTAGGGGCGATGGTTACCCAAACAGCTTACATTGAAGGGGACCATATGAATGCTACACTAACACCCCCCCCCCTTTTTAAAAAAATTTTGAGTTGTAAGTTTTCCCAGTTGCTTGAAAGCCATAGAAGCACCTGGATAATAAAACAGCAGTGAGCTTTAAAGCAGAGATAGGGGAAAGTGTGACAATTACGGTGGGATACTATCTTTGGTAACAAGTAACAGCTGTGATAACGTGGTTCTGCTATTTAGTCTCTGAATATCTTTCAGGGTCATTTGTATTTGGTTTAGGCTTAGTGATAGGGACTGCTCTTGCCAATGAACTACTCTTGATCACTGTGCTGCATGTTCATAACTTGAATCAAGTGGAGTGTTGGGGAGAAATTGACTTCTGAAGGCTTTGGCCCTATTGACAACTGATGCCAGGGATCTGCTTATCATTAAACTACCATTTTCCAAGTAGGCAGGGCAAATCTTCTAGACTCTAGGCCACGAAGTAGGACTTCAGCTTTAAAATATTGCAAAATCTCATCTAATCATAAAATGTCTAGAGCAGGGGTGGGCAAACTTTTTGACTCGAGGGCCACAATGGGTTCTTAAACTGGACCGGAGGGCAGGAACAAAAGCATGGATGGAGTGTTTGTGTGAACTAATGTAAATTCAAAGTAAACATCATTACATAAAAGGGTACGGTACGGTCTTTTTTTTTTTTTTTTTAGTTTTATTCATTTCAAACGGGCCGTAGTTTACCCACGGCTGGTCTTGAGTCTAACAAAGGAGCTTTCCTATGCTCCTTTTACTTATTTATTTTTAAAAAATATTTTTATTGATTTCAGAGAGGAAGGGAGAGGGAGAGAGAGATAGAAACATCAACGATGAGAGAGAATCATTGATCAGCTGCCTCCTGCATGCCCCCTACTGGGGATTGAGCCCAGAACCCCGGCATGTGCCCTTGACCGGAATCGAACTGAGGACCCTTCAGTCTGCAGGCCGACACTGTCCACTGAGCCAAACCGGCTAGGGCTATGCTCCTTTTATAGAGGAGCAGACTGAGGCACAGATTCAGGCCACAGTGAGTGAGTGGCAGACTTAGGCACCTGCATGGGCTCTATGATTGCTAGCTTTGTGTTTTCGAGGATGAGGTTTGGGCAGGCCTTGTCAGCCCCAAAAGGACAGAGTTTGTTGGGGATTAGGGTGACCCAATAAGGGAAGGTTAGGAGAGGACTAGAAAAATCTCCCTCAAGACAAAAGGTATATTTTATATACTGTTGTTTCTCCCTTGGTTCTCGGCATAGATTCAGTGAATGTTTTGAATGAATGAGTGTTTTGAGTCATTTGCTCTGCATTCTCAGCCGTGAATGACACCAGAAGTGACCTATGAGTGAATGAGGAGAGTATTTATGGGATTCAGGAATGCCTTAGGACTGGAATGAAATGAAATAATGTGGAAAAACTTTGAAAATATAAAACCTATTAAAATGCAAAGGATTATTCTTGTGCATTTTTGATTACATGTCTGAACACATCTTGCATGCTCCCTCTGCCTTAACTTTTTGTTCACATTACTCTCTCCATCTCAAACACCTTTCCCTTCCTTTAAAAAAATTTATTGATTTTAGAGAGAGAGATTTTCTTTTTAAATTAAATCTTTATTGTTTAAAGTATTACATATGTCCCCTTTTCCCCCCATTGACCCTTTCTAGCCCGCTTGCCTGCCCCAGGCCTTCACCACCCTATTGTCTGTGTCCATGGGTTATGCATATATGCATACAAGTTCTTTGATCTCTTCCAATTAGAGAGAGAGATTTTATTTATTGGTTTCATTTATTGATTTTGTTGGTCTACTCGTTAATGCATTCATTGGCTGACTCTTGAATATGTCCCGACTGGGGATCGAACCTACAACCTTGGTGTTTTGGGATGACACTCTAACCAACTGACCTACCTGGCCAGGGCTTTTCCCTTCTCCTTTTTGAACCCTGTTGGAGGACATGATTTCCTTTGATCCCTCCAAGAACTTTGGACTTGCATTACTCTGCTTTGGAGTGTCATTACTTGTTGGTTTTTCTTATCTCCAAGCATATGACCTGTTCTACTTTGATTCTTCAGATGCTCCTAATGGCTGTGCCTCTGAGACTCAGCCTTCAGTACCTGGTTGTTGAACGAAAGGTCATTTAAGAATCAGCACCACTTGGATTGAAGATTTCCATTCTCAATGTTGCAAGAAGTTGCTTCCGGGAGTTGTGGCAGCAGTTCTGAAATGAAAAATGAGCTAGACCTGCCCCCTGCCCCCCCGTCCCCCATCCTCTGGAAGCAGGAAGAATGTTTATGGAGTCTGCTGGGATTGGGTGCTGGGCACCTGGGGGCCCATGTGATGGCGCAGAGTGTAAATGGTAGTTGGTGGAATCAGTTGAGCTTGACCGATAGAGTTCCAGGTCCCTGCTTCTCCCCAATTTTAAAGGAAAAGAAAAGGGGGGGGGACATTGGAAATCCCGGGTTGACGGGGGCTTTCCATGAACCCCTGGGGATCTGCTACGGAGGTAGCCCTCGAAGCCCCGTTCAATAACAGCCAAGGTCAGTGACACTTCCCTCAGCCTGGTTAGAGCTGGCAAAAAGTGGCCGCTTGTGAGGACCACCGACAGAAGAGCTCCTATTACACCCTAATCTACAAGCACACACTGGAATTTTTCTCTTTTTTATTGGAGTCATATCCCACCCATGTTTAATTTTCTTGAGATGTGCACCTGGCAGATATGAGCCTTGCATTCATCCAGTCTCAGTTCGAGGGCTTGCACAGGACGAGCATCCTGCCTCACTGAATAGGATGCTGTGTTTTCTGTGCAATGTGTCATCTAAACAAGTGACTACTGCCCAGCCAGTGTGGCTCAGTGGTTGAGCATTGACCTATGAACCAGGAGGTCATGGTTCAATTCCAGGCCAGGGCACATGCCGGGGTTGTGGGCTTGATCCCCAATGTGGGGCATGCAGGAGGCAGCCGATCAATGATTTTCTCTCATCTTTGATGTTTTTATTTCTCTTCCCCTCTCCCTTCCTCTCTGAAATCAATAAAAATATATTTTAAAAAATAAAATAAACAAGCTACTCCTGCACCGCACAGTATTTTAGATAATATAAGGGAAATTCAAGGGTAACTTTGATTATACACAATTTTTTTGCTGGACATGCAGACTTAGAAATAACTTTCAGGTAAGAGGGGACGGGACTCTCTAACATTTTTTTTTACTTTCCAGCTGCATTAAGAATCAATTACACGTATGTGATCTAGGCTCTGAATCGAATAGTGAGTTTATAACAGTTTAAGTGGGAAAATGGATTTCCACCCTTAAATACCTGAATTGGAAACAAACCTTTGAAGCGCCTTCTGTCAGTAAAAGACTTGGCAAAGAAATTCATTGTAAATGCCCACATAGGACTGTTCTATTCCAAGCTCTTTGGATTAGTCTATTTTTAATGTGTTTTTTTTTGATGTTCAAAAAAACAAAATATGTTTTTCTCAGCACATAAATATTTTATTCTCTTTTCTCTTAGTGATTTACCTTCAAGAAAATTGGGGCTTCAGAAAGTTGGGGACTGCTCTGAACATGGCCAACCTCCTGAAAACAGTGGTGACCAGCTGCTCGTGCCCTCTACTTAGCAACTTGGGGTCCTGTAAGGTTGTGCCTGGGAAGAAGGAGTTTTTACGAACATTTCATACGCATCAGGCACTGTGGTGTAAATCCCCCGCAAAACCAGGTAAAGTCTCCCTTCAACACGTGTGACACAAGCCTTCAAGTCGTAGGAGCGCGTAGCTCTCCGAGGATGGAAAAAGGCAGATCATGCAGTTTCCAGCCTGGAGCTTGGGGACAGTCAATTTGCATAAAAAGAGCTAATGAGCACTTCTCTTAGGAGAAGTTCCAGGTTGTCAGTACTAATGGAGAAGAAAAGGTAATAGAAAAAGAAAAAGGGCGAACCAGCAGAATTGAACCCTGGGAATTACTGTTCACAGTAACCACTTCTCCTAACATCTCTCTCTCTGTCCTGGTCAGCATTGGAGGATTGTACCATATAAGGCGCAGCTGCGCCCAAGAATTAGGAACTAAGTGTATTGCTTCATCTGTAGCAGCGCTACTCCATGTAGTAAATGGCAGCCTCATCTCAGTTGCTCGGGTTAGAAACCTTGGCGTCTCCCTTGGTCCTGCCAGTAGGTGCAGGTCAGCTCTGCCTTATATGGAGAATCTGTCCTCTCCTCACCGCCACCGCTGTTGCATTCTGGTCCGAGCCACCATCAGCTGTCACTAGCCTTCTAAATGACCTCTGTGCTTTCTGCCTCTGTCCCCCTACAGTCTGTTCTGTATATGACAGTGACAATACTCTTTTTAAAATGAAAACATATCCCTCTTCTCCTCAAAATTTGCCGCTAGCTCTCTAGCTCACACAGGGTAAGAGCTGAGGCCTTTTTGTGCTGTACAAAGCCCCCCTTCTGTTCAGGGGTGCAGGCCAGGAGGGGAAGGTTAAAAGGGGGCCCTTCCACACTGAATCAGATAGGTCCCTGTGAGCACCGTACCCAAAGACCTTCCCAGCACTGGCCACTCCTCACTGGCCAGAACACAGACCAGTGGCCATGAGTACTGCAAGGGAGACTTGGGCCTTTCGTCTTGCATCCCAGATGGCGACATTCTCAACCAAAAATGGCATTGTCTCTAAGGTGGAGGAACAGAATGGGTATGGGGGGCGGGCAACTGGAAGTCTTTGCCACGTGGAATAACACCCTCTTACAGTTAGGTTTGTAGGACTGACGTTGTGCATTGACCCCTAAACTCCAGGGCTTTTGGACTTCTCACGTCTGTCTGGAATAGATTGCACAGCCTTTCCTTTTTTATTTTTAAATATATATTTTATTGATTTTTTACAGAGAAGAAGGGAGAGGGATAGAGAGTTAGAAACATCAATGAGAGAAATTGATCAGCTGCCTCCTGCACCACGGGGGATGTGCCCGCAACCAAGGTACAATGCCCTTGACCGGAATCGAACCTGGGACCCTTCAGTCCGTAGGCCGACGCTCTATCCATTGAGCCAAACCGGTTTGGCAGCACAGCCTTTCCTTGTTCTCACACGGCGAGTCACTGTTGGCAGGGTACCTGCCCCTGGGAGTCCTCAACTTTGGCTTCAGATTTTAAAACCGTTTCCTAGAAAGCCAGGTTATCCGGTGTGATACAATCACGTATAAAGTAAAAGTAGATAATTGCACTGCAGACGTGACCGTTGTCCTTGTGAGTAAATGCACGGGCATCAACAGCTCAGTATTTGTGATGTATAAGACTTTATTTTTTTTGTTTTATTTCTGATTCTGGACTATTTCCTGGGTAATTTACTTTTTATCTTTAAAAGATAAGCATTTTATTTTTTTCTTTAATAAAGCCACAATTTTATTATCACATTGAAAAGCATGAAAAGTAATTCCAGTCACCGTTCATATTTTCTCAATTTTTTCACTTTTTTTCTTAATTTCTTTTCTTTTTTAATAGATGCTTTGTTCAAATAATGAGCCAGACAAGGTCCATATGTTGTATTTCAGTTGCTGTGTCCTTAGGTTTCTTTTGATCTACAGCAGGGGTCCTCAAACTATGGCCCGTGGGCCACATGCAAATACAAATATTGTATTTGTTCCCGTTTTGTTTTTTTACTTCAAAATAAGATATGTGCAGTGTGCATAGGAATTTGTTCATAGTTTTTTTTTTGAACTATAGTTCGGCCCTCCAACCGTCTGAGGGATAGTGAACTGGCCCCCTGTTTAAAAAGTTTGAGGACCCCCTGATCTATATAGTTCCCTTCCTCTCTTTTTCTTTTTCTTTGTTGAAAAATGTAGCTGTTGCTTGTGGAATTTCTCACATTCTAGGTTTGCCTGACTGAATTCCCTTGGTGTATGTAACCAGTTTCTCTGCACCTTGTATTTTCTGTAACGTATAGTTGGCAGAGGCCGGACTAGAGTCAGGTTTGATTTATTGGCCTAGAACACTTCCCAGGTGATGCTCTGTGTCATCTATTACATTATATCAAGAAGGTGAACCCATGAGTTTTGATGATGTCAGTGTGATCCATCTATCATGAACTTCCTGCCTGTTTTTCACTCACGTGCTATAGCAGCCATTTGACTGATGATAGGGTTTAAATCCATGATTTCAAGGGTTTTAAATTGGGGATATTCTATCATTCTATCTTTTTATTGTTTTAAAGGCTGCTGCGCTTTGTACTAGAACCTTTACATATATTTCTCTGTTTTTTAAAAATATGTTTTTATTGATTTTGAGGGAGAGAGAGGGATAGAGAAACAAAAACATCGATTGGCTGCCTTTGCATGGCCCTTACCGGGGATTCAGCCCAAAGCTCTGGCATGTGTCCTGGCCAGGAATTGAACTGGTGATCTCTTGGTTCACTGGTCAATGCTTAACCACTGAGCCACGCTGGCCAGGCTATTTCTCTTTTTTTGAAAATCTTATTTATTGATTTTAGAGAGAGAGAGGAAGGGAGACAGAGAGAGAAACATCAATTTGTTGTTCCACCTATTCATGCTTTCTGTGGTTGATTCTTGTATGTGTCCTGAAAGGATCAAACCCGCAATCTTGTCACATGGGGATGATGCTCTAACCAACTGCACTATCTGGCCAGGGCCTATCATTTTATTGTTGTTTATTAGTTAGAATTTTTCTATGAAGAAAAACGTCCCTCTATTATTTAGTTACCCCGAGATTATACTGCAAAGGTGGGATAGTGTTTGATTCTTCCCCATTATTTACTGGTTTTGGTGATAATCAGTTGGTTCTCTTATGTATCTATCCCAGATATAACAAATGATTACAATCTTACTGGCTTCCTATAACACAAATTCATTGTCTTACACTTTTGGAAGCCAGAGCCTGAAAAGGCCTCCCTAGGCTTAAATCAAGGTGTTGGCAGGACTGTGTTCCCTCCGGAGGCTCCAGGGGAGAGTCTGTCTTTACCCCTTCTAGTTTCTGGAGAGCGCCTGCATTTCTTAGCTACGGCCACTTCCTCCATCTTCAAAGCCAGCAGCATAGCATCGTCAGGTTACTCTTTGGCTCTGACTCTTGTGCCCCCTTTTTTCACATTTAAGGACCCTTGTGATTACATTGGGCCCACCCGGGTAAGCCAGGATAATCGCCCTACTTCACGGTCATCTGAGTAGCAGCCTGAGTTCCATCTGCAACCTTAATTCTCCTCCGCCAGGTACTGTGACCATAGTCACAGTTCTGAGGACCAGGACGTGGATTATCTTCGAGGCCATGATTCTGCCTACCACACATTCCTCCCCCCAAAGTAGACCAGTGAAGCTTTTACAAAATATTTATTTTTTTGAGTATCATCATAAACCCCTAGATTTGAATACCCTTAGGTGTATTTTACTATATTATAATTATTTATTATTCTTTCTGATGCTCAAATTGTGCCCTGTTTGGCCTTCTCAGGTTGTTTCCTGAGTCCTTTTGATGTGATTTCAATGGTCTTTGATACCTTCCTTGACTTACGGTAGATAGGGCCTATATAATCCGAGATTGTTAGATACGTGAATAGTAGATCAATCCAAAATATTTGCCAGTTTTTTATTATTTTTCTCTCCTTCAAGTAGAGTGTAAGAGCCAACATATATTTGCCTTGAGTTTACTACCTATTAGTACTGCTTATGCAGTGTGGGATCTCAGACTGTTCAAATGCAGATATGTTTAGGTTGACATAAGCTCTCTAACATCTCACTAAGTTACTCTGCAGAGATACTTGGATTTATTTTTTAATTATATATAATCAGAATTTATGTTGCTAGATTTCCTAAACTTTAGTAAAACTTTATATAGAGGCAAGTCCTTCTTATTAAAAAAAAAAACCTGTCTATGCCCACTTGTGAGTAAAACAACAGAAGAAACTAATGTCCTTTAGCTAAAGCTGGTCTGAGCTGTGTAGACATGCTTTAAGGCTGTATTACACAGGCTTTTGGGTTGCAAGGAGCAGAATCGCACCAGGTTGTACTTTGTGGAGAGGGCTTACTGTAAGGACTGGGAAGGGTAGGAGCCCAGGCAGCCCCTCATCTCCTTCTTGGAGAAGTGGGGTGGTATTCTGGTGGTATTTCATAGCTCGCACTCATCTTCTGTCCTTGCATCTCTACTGCTGTTCCTAGTGCCGTTGCTTGCCCACCTCCCTTAGAGTGCCCCACACTGTGCTCACTGATTGCCACTGCACTCTTCCCCCTCTGTGTCCTTTCTGAGGGTCTCCCCTCCAGCTTCCTGAGAGAGAACCTGTTTGGGTTGGTAGTCACTGGCCAACATAGAGTGTGCCCTGGCAAAGCTCCTGTTAAGTCATCTCAGAGGCTCCTGGGTTTTCTCCTGTCTGACTCTTATCTTTGGCCCAGCTGCTGGTCCCCGGTCTAATGAGTTGTGGCTGAGAATGTCAGGTCTCAAGATACAGAACCTGGAAATCGGTGAGGTGTTACCTGTGGCCACATTGCCAGGAAGGTGACTTTGGGTGTCTAGTAGGGGGTGGTCCTTCAAAACAGCTCATGACTCCTCATCCTTCCGTAAAAGTAAGGACAAGGAGATGGTAAACCCAAGAGGGTTAATTTGAAGAGTGGAGTTAGCATGTTGAGTGGTCTAAGCTAGTCATGTGTCTTGAAGAGAGCCATTTGGTTAAATAAAATATCTAGAGTTTTCAGGAGAGTGAGCATAAAAACTGACCTATCAAAAAGGTCAGAGAGTTAAGATTCTGAATCAGGAACATCGTTTGGAACAGTGACTTGTATGTACAGTCTACTTTGAACAGTTTGCCCATATCCATTTTCTGAACTCTGTTATTGAAACATTGTTTACCAGATGTTCTTTTTTTCTTTGTATTATTATTTTGGCTTTGTTTGTAGGAATTCCATATAAGCAACTGACTGTTGGAATCCCCAAGGAAATTTTCCAAAATGAGAAGCGAGTGGCATTGTCTCCTGCAGGCGTTCAGGCCTTGGTCAAGCAGGGCTTCAATGTTGTCGTGGAATCGGGCGCTGGCGAGGCGTCCAAGTTCTCCGATGATCACTACAGAGCAGCAGGTGCCCAGATCCAAGGAACAAAGGAAGTGCTGGCCTCAGATCTGGTGGTCAAAGTAATTATCCTCCAACCCCCCTCTCCCCGTTATGGCATGCGGACTTTTCAAACTCTTTGCATGGAAAAATTAACTGTCTCTGTCCATTGTTAGAGCCTTTCATATTTCAAACGATGCCTTTTTTTCAAGGAAATGATTATATGTCGTAAATATTCATGTTCAGGCCGTGTGATCAGGCCATGAAAAGAGAAAAAACGATCTTCTGTTGTACGTTGGCTAGGGACATTTGCACCCCAGGGTTCATACATGTCCCAAATGTGCACAGGTGAGCATCTAACTGCTACTGAAATAGAAGGAAGTCGTGGACGCCTCCTGGGACTGAATGTGCAGTGATCTTGGGAAGGAAGTGTTTGATCTGACGGCAGTGCTATTTTTAGAAAGGGCAGGATTGTCCTGGAGAAAGCAGCATGGGGCTGAGTGGCGAGTAGCCCATCTACTTTAATAGAAAAGCTCTCGGATGTAATAGAAATGGATTGAACTTGAGCAATAAATCTCATATAGGGAAAGGCAGAGAGGCTGTGTTATGAGTCTAGCAGGGATAGATTACTAGAGTTGAACATTAACTTAAATTCCTAAGCCTTTCTGCAACCAAGGCAGGCAGGGAAGTATGGGTTATATGAGCATGATTATCAGGTTAAAATAAGCTCCTCACTTTCAAGATCAGCTTTTTTTTTCTGTTAATTTCTCAGCAATCACACACACACACACACACACACACACACACACACACACCTTTTTTTTTTTTTTACATAAACTCCACTCTCTTGATAGGGTCTTAAGTAGTGGTTCTTGCAGAAGACACAAAAGTGTGTGTGTGTGTGTGTGTTTTTTCTATAGAAAATAAGAAGTAAAACATATGACATGGAGCTAAATTGTAATTTCGCTAAAGCTTTTACAGGTGTGCAGGTACTTGGTGACGTAACTTGGTAGAGTAAAGAAGCGTAGGAAAAATAGAAAAATCATGGTAACCCCTTCCAATGTGTATTTTAGGGATGATAACGTTTTGAGATGTCTCACACAAAAGGCTCCGTGTGGTGCACATGCGTTTTGGAAATGCTGTGTTCCTTTTAGGGATTTGTAATGTGAAGGCACTGGGGATCTTGTGATATGGAAACACTATCCTTGCACTAATAAACTGCTTGACCTGGGTGCTTCTCTTTTGATCAAGCTTGCTAATATCCCGAGGAACCAGTGGTCTGAAAGTACATTCAAAGAAACATTCCATTGGCTTCACTTGGATGCCGACAGTCTCAGCCCAGCACTCGATAGGGGCCGGTAGAATTAATGCAAAATTGTCCCCTAATTTTTATTAAGTCTATATGATAGATTCTCACTGAGGAGAGACAGACCTTGTCAGAGAGTCTTAGTTAAAGTCCAGAACCCGAAATCATATGCATCCAAGATCAACAACCGAAATGGGAATAACAGACAAAGGGGTCTCATAGGTCAATTGAGACAAAATGCTGTGAAAGGAAAATATTGACCCAGTATTGGTGGGTGTATTTCCTTTTAATACTTAACTCCCAGCGCCGTTTTCTCTGTGCTTACCTGCCTGAAAACACTGCTGTGGACTGGGAGCTAAACATTCATTGAAGATTGATTTTAAACTTGGATATAAAACACTTTTCAAAACACTTGTAAAATGGAATTTAAAAAATTTGGCTTTAAAACGTGGACATTTGGAACCTGCAGGCATGTGGAGTGTGCATTCATTGACGGATTTGCTACTTCGTAACAGAACAGACTTTATTGTAGCCTTTTGCTTCAACCCAGTTCAGCAAGGCTACCGCTTTGATTGCATTCATCTATAAATATTCACCTGCGATTTTAAGGCGACATAAATCTATCCATACAGCCAGGAGATTTTAGTTTATAATGTTCTTAACTTCTCAGCACCCCAAATGTTTGTGTTTGTCAAAATCAGCAAGAATTGCGTCTTTGAATACACAGCCCAAACTTCCTGTTTATTCGAATGTCTCAATTGTGTCAGAGAGATAGGTTCTGGGAGGACAGGATGGTTATAGAACCTGCATATTTTGCCACTGCTCCATAGCTCATTGTCAGACCTGTCGAGGCACTATTTTTAGTCGCATGTGCTCTTTCCTCAGTCCAGGGTAGATGTCATAGATCCCTTGTGCCTTACCTTGCGCGGGAATGTAGTCAGACATTTATTGCTGAAAGATCACTCCTGGAGTATTATTTCAATCCTGGCACGTTATTTAAATTGTCTTCTTTACTTAAAAGTATGATAAAGGTATTTGCATTTTTAATCGGTGATTTCGCTTTTTTCTCAGGTGCGGGCCCCCATGCTTAATCCAACATTAGATATTCATGAAGCCGACCTTTTAAAGACTTCGGGAACACTGATTAGCTTCATTTATCCAGCCCAAAATCCAGACTTGCTAGATAAACTTTCCAAAAGGCAAACGACAGTTTTGGCGATGGACCAGGTTCCAAGAGTCACGATTGCTCAGGGATATGACGCGCTGAGCTCCATGGCCAACATTGCTGGGTAGGTTCCCCTCTGTTTCAGCGGCACAACGGAACGGCGGTGTTACAGAACGTGCCCATTGTAGCTCTTCTCTCTTGGGTGATTTTACTCGTGAGGATTGTGGGAGAGCGCCGCCTTTGAGAGTGTACTTCAGTTATTTTTAAGACTTTTAAAATAAATATATATCTTTAATTGATTTCAGAGAGGAAGGAAGAGGGAGAGAGAGATAGAAACGTCAATGATGAGAGAGAATTATTGATCGGCTGCCTCTTGCAAGCCCCACACTGGGGATCGAGCCCGCAATCTGGGCATATGCCCTGACCGGGAATCAAACCGTGACCTCCTGGTTCATAGGTTGATGTTCACCTGCTGAGCCACGCTGGCTGGGCAAGAGTCTTTTTATTCCAGTCATCAGATAGGAAATGGTTCTTCATACTGTACTCTGTTGTACTCTCCTTTGTAATCTTACTGGGTAGGAGGCAAGTAGTATTTTCTTGCAGCAAAGGAAATGACTGTCAGATTATTTGTATGAAGAATTTACTGCATTTTATATATGTGTGTATATTAGGTTGAAATTACTGTTTTTTCCCAGCTTTACTGAGATATAATTGACACATAACATTGCGTAAGTTTAAGGTATAAACATAATGACTCGATACATATATGCTGTGAACTGATTACCACAATCAGCTTAGTTAACATAAATTGCTGTTTTATAGGTCAAAAGTGGTTGGATATTGACAGTTTCATGTTTCAATCTAATATATAACATTAGCAGATTCACAATTTTAATTAGGTTTTACTTCCATAAATTCATAAAATACTAGTATTTAATGAATAGGGAAAATGTCTGCACTTGAAGAAGTTCCATCTGGTGTCAAAGCCTGTGTTGATAACTGAAGGCTAACTGTGTCCTCGAACCTCTGAGGCCAAGAGGGCAATGAACTTCATGTGCTGGGAGCACTGATGCATGCGCACCTGTTGCCCGCAGTGCCGTGTGAAGGATCCCAGGGCCCATCCGGCCCAGAGGACTGGCTGTTTGCACAGTCACGCCTGCCCCAGGGGAAGCACAGGAATAGCTCCCCAAGGGCGGCGTGTTGCTCACTTGGCTGGAGAGGGTGAAAAACTTGGCTGACTTGGCTGGAAGTCAGATGCTACTTATGAAATCAGCTGAGAAATGAGTTGAATTAGATTTTAAGCATGAAAACTATTAGTAGTGACAATTTGCTAATATGAATGAGGCATCAACAAATGAAAATGTTTTAAAAAAACAGTGCCTAAAAAAAAAAAGAATCACCTGAATAAATTCTGACAGATGAGCTGAAAGTCTTCTTAGATTTTATATCTTAGGTGTAGCATATCAAATATGCCACAGATTCTACTTTGGGTTCCAACCATTCACTGTGGATGTAAATGAGACGCAATAAATAAAAATGACAAACACACATGTTGTTGTCCTTCATGTAATATGGCAAATGGATGTTTTAAAGACATTCTTGTGTGTGATATAAATGATATACCAAGGAACACAATAAATTTTTATATTTATTTAGTTTGTAGAAGAGTTACGCTATGCAATGAGGGACTTAAATGTTTTATAGAAAATGTACAATGTAAACTTTTAAAAAATAGGTTTTTATTTATTTATTTTTTAGAGAGGAAGGGAAAAAAAAGAGAGAGGAAGGGAGAGGAATAGAGAGATAGAAACATCGATGAGAGGGACATCATCGATCAGCTGCCTCCTGCCTCCTGGGGATCAAGCCCACAACCTGGGCATGTGCCCTGACTGGGAATTGAACCGTTGACCTCTTGGTTCCTGGGTTGACCTCAACCACTGAGCCACACCAACCAGGCTACAATGTAAACTTTTAAGAGTGCTGTTGACTTTGTCATATGAAATGTACGTTTGAGCAAGGTCTTTATCAAAACCAGTAGCTTTAGATCAGTGGATTTTAGCTGCAGAATCTTTTGAGCAAATGAAATCTTATGTGGCAAGAGAAGCAATTCCACTAAGAGCAGAATGGCCCGAGATGAATTGAGGGATGAGGGGGGTCCAGAACATGTCTGTTCTCTATCCCACCCACTGTGTGCTGGCTGCAACTTAAGCCTATGGGACCCATGGAACACAATTTAAAGAATCACTATGTCCTGAGTTGATACATGCAAAGGGTATAGTTTGAGATGAATCATCTAGTATACTTATCATACAACGTGCGATAAGTCATTTTCTGTCTAAATCACATATGGTACACATACACATACATACACACACACACGGCTACACTACACTGAAGACACATTTCTTTCAGTGCATTGATGGTCATTCTGAGTTTTATTATTCTCATCAAATACAGGCCCACTTTTAACATTTTTTTCTACCATCAACATTTTCTTGTACATTTCTGTGTAATCAGCTTCATTTTTGTTATTTTTTTTCAGTATAGCAATTGAATATTTTAAAATATTAATTCCAAAATTAAATTCTTGCAATGGTCTTTGAATCTCTATCATGTTTGCTCTTTGAAAATTTCCATCACTTGGATTCAGAAATAGATGAACACATCATGTAACCTCGAAAACATTATTTCCTGCTTTTAATGTAATTTAACCTAAAATAGTGCATGCTTTTGCACCAATTATTAGGTCAAGTATTTTATAAAGATATTATTAAGGAAAGGTTTTATTGTCAGCTAGCGGGTGGAGTTTATCATTAAGCAGTTGTATAACAGTAAGATAGCGTATTTATTACTGAGTGAGATGGTGCAAAAGTGTAAAATGGCATGAAGATGAAATTAGTGTTATGTGATAAAAATATCCTCTTAAATAAAAGATGGTATAATTTACTAGTTCTTGTTGCATAGCCTATTTCTTTTTTTTTTTTTTTAAATATATTTTATTGATTTCTTACAGAGAGGAAGGGAGAGGGATAGAGTTAGAAACATCGATGAGAGAGAAACATCGATCAGCTGCCTCCTGCACACTCCCCACTGGGTATGTGCCCACAACCAAGGTACATGCCCTTGACCGGAATCCAACCTGGGACCCTTCAGTCCGCAGGCCGACGCTCTATCCACTGAGCCAAACCGGTTAGGGCGCATAGCGTATTTCTTTAGCTAAAACACTCATAGTTAGCCAGCGCTTACTGTGACAGGCTGTAGGTAAGTGCTTTGCATGCATTATCTTATTTCGTCTTCATGACAACACTAAGAGAGGCTGTTTTTTTGTGCCGGCTTTACACATGGGGAAATCAAGGATGAGTGAATTAAAGAAGGTTGCCCAAGGTCACAGAGCATGTCGGTGGTAGAACTGGACGTGAACTGAGGTCACTGTCTCAAAATCCCATGCTTTCAACCTGTAGAGATCAGGGGAAGTGGTATTTTTGGTGGTCTGAGGCCAGAATTGGAATTTTATTATGTACAAGCATATTGCTAATCTAATCTTTTAATTTTAAAGTTTTCCCTCTGTTCTTATATACATGCGATGTAGTCACCAAAGAAACTTTGGACACTGTAATAAAGTAAAACAAAAAGTTTGAAATACCTGTTGTCTCAGCACCCAAAGAAAACCATCGCGAGTGCCTTCTTGTCTTTCCTTCATGTCTAATTTATCACAACAGGCCTTCTGCAGTGTTTGTTAGAAAGAGGCCTGGGAGCCTCATGGATTAGCATATGCCTTCTGGGTGGGATGCTGGGGTTACACTCTGGCTCTGCCGGTGACTAGCTGAGGGACCTTCGGCAAGTCTCTCTTTTTTAAAAAAGTATTTTAATTTATTTCAGAGAGGAAGGGAGAGGGGGAGAGAGAGAGAGAGAGAGAGAGACGTCAAATGATGAAAGAATCATTGATCGGCTGCCTCCTGCATGCCCCCGACTGGGGATTGTGCCGCAACTTGGGCATGTGCCCTTGACCAGAATTAAACCTGGGACCCTTCAGTCCGCAGGCCGATGCTCTATCTACTGAGCCAAACCGGCTGAGGGCTTGGGCCAGTCTCTTCATCTCTGTGTGTCAGTCTCCTCACCTGTGAAGTGAAGAGAATAAGTGAAGAGAATAACCTATCCATACGACGTCATGAAGGTTAAAGGCGTAAGTATATACACAGCACTTGACACATAGCAAGTGCCATATAAAATGTTAGCCATCATCCTTTAATGATTAGCATGTCATTGGTGACTTATGATGCTATATGAGGCTCACGTCTTTCATATGATGGAATTGCTCATTTTATGGAATTATTCATGCATTTGTTTCTTTTCTTTTTTTAAGTTACAAGGCCGTTGTACTAGCAGCAAATCACTTTGGACGGTTTTTTACTGGTCAGATCACGGCTGCCGGAAAGGTCCCTCCAGCTAAGGTAGAGAAAACTTTTGATGTTTCTTCATAATACGAATGAATTAAAGACGAGGGGATGTGTAGTTTGGACAGACAGTTATTTTCCCATGTTTGTTGCGTGTTAACTTCTCACGGGTGACTTGTGGCAGGTACAGGTAGATGGCGGAGCCTCCAAGCCGCTTAAGCTGGCTCGAGGAAAAGCACGTTGATGTTTCCAGAGGTTCTGGTCAGTCCTTTTTCTGCTTTTGCCGCACTAACTTGCATTCTTAAAGGGATTTTGGATGACTTGTTCTGTGGAGTCCATTTATTACTATTTTTAAAAACAGTTTCAAGATACCATTCAGCAAATTCTTTCTTTTTCTCCCCCCGCAAATTCTCGATTTCCCAATGATTGACATTTTGGTTCATTGAAAAGATTGTCTTGGTTTCCTCACTTTTTGCCGAATGTTGGGTCATGAGGACAGGAGACGGGAGGTGGTGTAACCGGGATATTTGGCAGGGGCACGGGTGCGCTTTCTTTCATCGAGATCGAGAGCAGAGGAGAGGGCCGAGAGGTGGGCATGGCTGGGTGAAAGAGTGGGTTCCGTGACCCCTCAACACTGCGTACACTAACTGACAGGATAAGCAGGTCATTATCCTGACAGGATAATGTGCAGGAGACAGGGCCTGACCTGTTGTCATCCACCTGCGGTGTGTGCCTGTCTGTGGGGTGCTTCCTGCTCTAAAGTACTTTGTCATTATAAACCCGAAGTTCTCACACAAAGTAAATCACCTAGAAGCGTGAAAACACACACACACACACACACACACACACACACACACACACACCACAAAACAAAAAAATAGAAAAACCCCGCAATACCAGCTTTGAGAATGCTAGTTAATTGCTTTAAACAGGCGGGAGGAGAGAATGACAGGTGTTTAGGTGGAGAGAAAGAATACGTTCCTTTTCTAAGGTTACATCGCTTGATTCCAGTGCCGTTCCCTCTTTTAAATTGTGGAGTCTTCTGTTATTTCCGATGGAGGCTAACTTGGCCTCTCTTGTGATTTTACTTATTTTATTTCATGTCATCGTTTTAGCAATGACACTCAAAGGCCAACGACCTTCACTGACAATGGCCTGACAATCAGCAGCTCCGTGGGTACAGCTGAGGGGCGGGCCTTGGAGCCCAGAGCCGTTTGTTTCCTCTGGTCCCTCTTTGTCACCTTTCCTGTAGAGCCCCCCCCCCCCCCCGCCCCGCCCCAACAAACCAACCATCACCGTTAAGAGCAATTTTCATAGAACTTTTGAGACACTGCCTGGGGGGAGGGCACTGGAGCACAGTTGACTAGTGTAGTCTTAAAGAGGGGGAGGGAAGAGTGGGCATGATGGGTGGGTAGGAACTTATAAAGTTCAGTTTCTGTGGGTGGCTTCTCTCTCTCTCTCTCTCTCTCTCTCTCTCTCTCCCTCCCTCCCTCCCTCCCTCCCTCCCTCCCTCCCTCCTTCCTTCCTTCCTTCCTTCCTTCCTTCCTTCCTTCCTTCCATAGCAACAAGGAGTTACCTTCCATTGACTGGGAAGCATAATAGGACTTTCCACACCACAGACAACATTTTCCTTATTTTGTTTCTTAGGAGGCAGGGGAGACTCTAGTTTCTGAGGAATTCTTTGGTTTTCCTTGGCTTGGGTCCTCCCAGGGTTAGGAGATTGATTACATTGCTTTATATTTCAGCTACAGTTCATTCAGATTGGTTCAAAATTAGGTGCTTGATCACCTGCTCTTCCTTTCAGAAGCATTTGAGCTCAAATCGGGGTTGGAGTAAGCGGGCTCCCCGAAGTTGTACCCATCTTTGCAACTTACTTCGATACTTTATGAACATAGTCGGACCTGAGCATTGGCGAGGGGAGGGGGAGCTAGAATGCTGGCTACACTGGGAATGTCAGTGGGAGAAGCTCTGGCACAGAGTGAAGAACCTGTTAACCTTTTGCACACATACTGTGGATCTTGCTGGCTGTAGCTTTGACACTGAGCTGCTGATTGTCGGGCTATTTTCAGTGAAGGGGCTATTTTCAGTGAAGGTCGTTGGCCTTTGCCAGCAGTGTTCCTTTGATAAACTTTACGACAGTGGCTTGGGGCGTGGGGTGGGGGGGCGGCGGAAGGGGAGGAGGATAGAGGGGGCATTGATGATGATGGAAGGAGACTTGACTTGGGGCAATGAACGCACAATACAGTGTGCAGATGACGTCTTACAGAATTAATTTTGCACCTGACACCTGTGTAATGTTAACCTGCGTCACCCAATAAATTCAGTAAAAAGGGAAAAATAAACAAAAAGCGTGACCTTCAGTGAAAGAGTTGTTTATCGCTCAGAACGTTGAGTGAGGGCTGATGGCTGCCACCAGCACCGCCTGGTTTATTATTGAGCTCTGACTGTGTACCAGACACTGAAGGTACTAGCGGTGATTTTTCAGAATCCGTTGATAATGAACTTCATTGAAAACACACCGGTTCTGCCCTCTGTCCTAGATTCTGATAGTTGGTGGTGGCGTTGCTGGGCTTGCCTCTGCAGGTGCAGCCAAGTCCATGGGGGCCATTGTTCGAGGATTCGACACGAGGTGAGTGCTTCACTGGTGACTGCTGTCAAGGTCAAAACCCTTGTTTCAGGTGGATGCTGTGCTGTCCTTAGAGTTTATAAATTTAAGTAGCATGTTGAGAACTGCTCCATAAGCTCTTTAAATATTTCCAGTTTTTCAAAGTGAACTCAAAGTGAAAAAGTATTACTTAGTGGTAGAAAATGTAAGGACCGAGACTCAGTTCAGCAGAAATAATTTAAAAAACAAAATAAAACAAAAGACTTGAAAACTAACACCATACTCAGGTTTTCTAAAAAAATATTTTACTTATTGATCTGGGTGGGGGTGGGGGGAGAGAGAGAGAGAGAGAGAGAGAGAATCATTGATTTGTTGTTCCAGTTATTTATGCATCCATTGGTTGATTCTTGAATGTGCCCTGACCAAGGATTGAACCTGCAACCTTGGTATATTGAGATGATGCTCTAACCAACTGAGCTACCCGGCCGGGGCTGATATTGGACTTTAATGGGTCGGGAAGCGGCCTGGGAACTTGAACTGTTGGCAGGTAGCTGCCGTGGTTGTTGTCACCAGGGCGGTTTGGGATTCACCGTGGGATGGGTGTTGTTGACTTAAACACTGTCTATCACAGAGCTGAGATCTGCTGGCTCCGGTTTTCCAACCAGTGCGCAATGCTTGGTCAGCGTTTCTTTCTTTTTCTTTAAATAACAGAATGTAGTTTTACGTAATTTGAATGTGTTGGCTTTTTACATTTGCCATTTATACCACTTACAAGTTGCTTTTTTTCAAACACAATTTAATGAGGACCATGGACAAAAATCTCTTTGGTAAAACATGCCTAAGTAAAAGAGTCATTTATTTGGGGAAAGTCCCCACAAGTCAGGACATTTACAGATGAAAACCTCCACTTGAGTGATTTGAATGAAGGCGAATCTTAATGTAGGTCAGAACTCCCATCCTCATTGATAATGGAGCCACAGAGACAATCGATTACTGGAGAGGGTAATAGTGACATTCCTTTTGTAATTTGACTAAGGAGTTGGGATTCTCTATAGTTTTTTTACCCCCTCGAAAAAATATTTATCATAAAAGCATTAACTCCCTTTAGAAAAACATTGAAACAGTCCAATCAGAGACATCAAAAGAAATTCTCCACTTTTGAATATATACAATTTTTTCTTTTAAAAAAATGTCTGCGTGCATGATCTTGGTTCTGTATTAAGGGCCTAAAATAACCGCTGCTTTCCCTCAACGCTCTCCAGGGCCGCGGCCTTGGAGCAGTTCAAGTCTCTCGGTGCCGAGCCCTTGGAGGTGGACTTGAAGGAGTCGGGCGAGGGCCAAGGCGGGTACGCAAAGGAGATGTCCAAGGAGTTCATCGAGGCTGAAATGAAGCTGTTCGCCCAGCAGTGCAAGGAGGTGGATATTCTCATCAGCACCGCCCTCATCCCAGGTGTGTCCGGCCCCTGGTCCCGCAGCACTTTCACTAAGACTTCTTCAGACGAGGGTCGATCACTGTTGAACGAGTGAATTTCTTCAAGTAAAGATTGACTTGCTTTCTAGTAAATGAGAAAGCACGTGAGAGGCAGAAAGACAAAATCACCACAGCCCTAAAGAAAAACAGCCGTTAGTAATTTGGTCTGTTTGCTTCCAGTCTTTTTTCTGTGTATTTTTATCTGTGTTTGTAGATCACAGTCTATGTACAAGTTATATTTGCACATAATTTTCTCTGTTTATACCATTGGTAAATTGGTTTTTAATTTATTTCTGTTCTCTTTATTAAGATGCTACCTTTTTATTGTAGGAAATTCAAACGGTACTGAAAATAGGGAGGAAAAAAGTATAGATCGGAAGTTCCACCAGAGATGAGACTGTTACTAATATTTTGATGATCATTTTTTCATATGTGAGAGAGAAAGATGGGAGCTTTGGCTGTGTGTATATTTATGTAACTTCCAGTATATATATTTTACTAAAGGATAGGGCACTTTGTCACTTTTAATTATGTCCTTTGACATGTTTGGTCTTTGTAACCAAATTGCGTGCTCTTTGGATATCAGGAAGTACTATCTAGTCCAGTATTACATCCTCTTCTAAAGAATATTTTTCACTCAATAGATGATGGTGTCAAACTAATAAGCACTTGTTACTCCATAAACACTAACTTGATCTAGCAAGATTTGGGAGTGAAGAAGCTCTCCACCTTTTATATTCTTAGCTCTTCTTTAATATATATATAATATATATATATATATATATATATCTGAATAATATATATATATATATATATAACCATCTGACCATATATATATATATATATATATATATATATATATATATATATATATAATTCTCTCAATGATGAGAGAATAATTAATCCAATGCTTCCTGCAGGCCCTCACTGGGGATTGAGCCCACAACCTGGGCATGTGCCCTTGACCTCCTGGTTCATGGGTTGATGCTCAGCCATTGAGTCATGCCCTCTGGGCAGCTCTTCTTTTCTTATGTTCTTTCCACGTGTTATTGAATAATGAATACCATGATGACTCTAATTTTTTTCTTTTCTGAAATCTCATAGGGTTTATGGTTCCTTGTGTTAGATCCTATTAATGGAACCTCGCTTTCTCTAGGGGACTGGAAAATTAGAAGTTGCTTTGTCCTGAAGTCACGGGAAAGGAGAAGTTCTTTTCTAACACCCTTTCCCCCCAAAATCTGGCTATGATAATCCCAAAGGCAAGAATTTGATCATATCCATGAGCTTGTGGGGCAATACGTGCCTCCCAGCTCTTCTTTCTGTCCTCTGTATGTCCAGCTGAAACCTGATAGGTGGGGTGGTCTCTCCAGACACCCCCAGCCCACCTGAGATGGCAGGATAAGCAGCCGGGCAGGGGGCCCCTATGGGCTCAGCCCCCTGAAGAGTCTGTGTGTGTAGAAATGAGGCCTGGAGGTGGGTGCAGAGCAGGTCAGCCAGGAGCCCAGGTGGTGGTTGTGAAATCGGCCAGGGGGACAGGACTCGTGAACAGGCAGTGCAGGAGAGTGCTCAGGATTCGTCCTTCTGCGGCAGTGGCGCCTGGCTCAGCTGTTGCACAGGTGGCTTGGGGGAGGGGTGGGTGGCTTTGCTGTGCCATCTGACCTTTGAAAGGCAGCTGCTGACTAGATGCGACAAGTGGCCAGCAGAGGGTGCTAAAACATTTGTTCAGGGAGTAAACGAGGCCCTGAAGCTAGATCTAGTCAAGCCAGACCTTACTAAAGAACAGGATAGTTTGGACACAGTGTATAGAATTATTATTGATCATCAAGCTCGAAGTGAGTGCTAGAACTCAAGACTTCTTTTTTAAAAAAATATATTTTTATTGATTTCAGAGAGGAAGGGAGAGGGAGAGAGAGATAGAAACATCAATGAGAGAATCATTGATCAGCTGCCTCCTGCACACCCCTCTCTCCTCCCCTCAACTGGGGATCGAGCCTGCAACCCAGGCATGTGCCCTTGACCGGAATTGAACCTGGAACCTTTCAGTCTGCAGGCTGATACTCTATCCACTGAGCCAAACCGGCTAGGGCAACAAGACTTCTCATATAAAACACATACTGACTTTTAGGGCCTGCCCCCCATCATATCTTATATATTTTTTTATAAGTAGTTTGTAGGAAGTGTACTTTAGTAGAAGGTCAAATTGTATAACATCTTTTTTTTTTTTTAATCCTTACCTGAGGATATGTTTTTATTGATTTTCAGAGGGAGCAGGGGGAGGGAGAGGGAGAGAAACATCGATTTATTGTTCCACTTGTTTATGTGTTCGTTGATTGTCTCTTGTATGTGCTCTGACCGGGGATTGAACCCGCAACCTTGAAGAAGCGGCCGACACCCCCCCTAACCTATGGCGCTACCCCGGTGTAACAAGTCTGGAGGAAGGCTGTTGAAGGAGTTTTATCACTCTGTTCCTCTTCTGAAGCTACGATCGCCTCAGCACATTAAACGTACAGAGAGGCCAGTGCATTGGTCCAGAGCTCACACTCAGAAAGCTGGTCTGAAAAGGACCTTTCTGGTATTTTTTTTTCTTTTGAAAACCAAAAAAAAAAAAAAAGATCTTTTTAACGATCTTTTATCTCCCTCCAGGACTGAAACCGGAAGCATGGATGGGTACTAGAAAAAAAGATAGAAAAGATCGTGTAAAGGCACAAATGCCCTTTGAAAAGCAGTGTCCTTGCATGTACCTCTGCAGGTTTATGTCCTGAGCCTTTGCATGGGTCACCTGGTGGCATGTCCAACTCCTGAAAGATCTTAGAGCAGAAGTTATTCTAAGGCTTTTCTTGAATTGGGTCCAGAGGAGATTAAGTTAAATGTCAGAAGTTCTCCGAGTTGAGATTCCTTAGACCAAGGCCTCGTGGCCGTCCTGGAGGCCTGGGTGGGTGAGAATGCTGAGAGGGACACAGGCGGTCAGGTCGTTTCGGGTTACAACCTAATGGACTCGGGCACTTTTCCTTTCTCCCGGGTGCACATCAGTCAGGGGGCTTGAAAAGACAGTGATCTTGTACTTGTGTGGGGTGTATGTGGGATGAAATATTTCTGGAGCCAGCTAATTATTGTGCGGCCTGGGATTTTGTACCACATACGCGTTCCATCATCTGGACCCCAGGAGTGGGATGGGCAATCGGTTAAAGGCTGGAATTTCACTTGATGTAGGTGATGTCAGGAGAGGGCCTCGCTGGCTGTCCCATGTTGTGGCACTGTGCACACAGGACAGCTCCCAGCCTTCCTGTCCAGCTCTTGGACCTTCGAGACTACTTAGAAAGTAAGGCAACCCCGCTCTGGGCATGCTCAGGCTGTGCTCATAATCTTCCTGCTACACCTTTGGAGACACGAGAGCTTTATTATTATTGTTGTTGTTATTATTATTATTATTAGAGGCCCAGTGCACGAATTCATGCACAGGTCCCTTGGCCTGACCTTGGCGATTGGGGCCAGTTGGGGCCAACTGGCCAAGGGAGGAACTGCAGGAGGTTGGCCAACCAAAGGTGGTTGGCTGTGGAAGCGCACTGACCACCAGGGGGCAGCGGCTCCTGCGTTGAGCGTCTGCCCCCTGGTGGTCTGTGTGTCGTCATAGCGGCTGGTCGAACGGTCATTCGTGCTTAGGCTTTTACATATATAGGTGATGATGATGATGATGATGATGATGATGATTTTTAGCATTCCTAGTGTCCTGGAACCCTGTTAGCGAGACTTTTCAAAGACTTGGACTATTTGACCAGGAAGAGGCTGAATCAGGTTGAAGATCTGATCAGTGAGTTAAGGAGGGGAGAGTGGAAAGGGGTGAGGAGCAAGCGTGGTGCTTTGGCACTGACCATGTGTAGGCAGATGTCACCTGAATTCCAGGGAGAATGGAGTACTGTGGAGCACAGGCCAAGTCTACCTGCCAGAGACACTCTTCCATGTCAAGGTTTCCTGAAGGCTACCTCATTGAAAATCGTAAGCTTTCCCACTGCCCCTTCCCCCCTCAGGTCTGGTCCTTGCTGTGTGATTGAGCCGGAGCTATTGGAAAGCCTGGGGCTTTGTTTAATAATGATAACTGTGTCTTGGAGCACCGGGTTCCCTGCAGCATTCGGCAAAGGCATCTGAAATGACCAGGATTGGGTCACGTCACCCCCACACCCCCAACCCTTGCTACCATGTCTGTTCTGCTGGGTAGGGTATTTATGTAGCTTTTGGGCCTGATTTAGCTTTGGGGCCTCATGTTAAGCTCATGTAGTGCTCTCTGGGTCGGATTTCAGTTACGCTGGCCGCGGTGATCTCCTCAAATAGACCAAGGACTTTCAGGCCTTTGAACATCGTTCCCTCTCTTGGGAATGTGTCCGGCTCTGCCCTGCCCCTCGAAAGCCTACTCGTTAGTTAACACTTCCTTCCTCCATCTGAGATTTGGTTTCTGCCACCTTCCGCTGGGTGGTAAGCCCTCCTTCTCCTTCATTCACAGCCCTGTGCCGGTGCCTTAGATCCCAGTGGTTCTCAACTGCGGTGCGTCCTGTGCGCTCAGCGAGAGTGTTGGCTGTCGCCCATGGTGGCCTGGTGGCATGTGCTTAGTACAGAGCCTGGCACATAGTGGCTCAGCAGATGTTGCCATCCTGATGATCCCGGGTGCCTTCCTTAGGTCTTGGTTGGTACAATCCCGTTATTTTTCCAGGGTTATCCAAGGGAAGATGGAGAATGCTCCGTTGGCTCCATTTTGGGTAGGAACACTGCAGAGGGTAACTGAAGACTGAGGAGCTAGTGTTTTCATTTTTCTCCGATACATACCCAGGAGTGGATTTGCTGAGCTGTAAGGTAGTTCTATTTTTAGCCTTTTTAGGAATCTTCGTAATGTTTTCCACAGAGCCTGTACCAATTTGCAGTCCCGCCAACAGTGCACAAGGGTTCCTGTTTCTCCACATCCTTGCCAACTCTTGTTTGTTGATTTATTG